GAAAAACACCCACTTCTGCTTTATTGATTATGCCAAAGCCTTTGACTGTGTAGATCACAACGAACTGTGGAAAATTCTTAAAGAGATCGGAATACCAGACCTTATCTGGCCCCTGAGAAATCTGTATGAAAGTCAAAAAGCAAATTACAACTGGACATGGAACAACAGACTGGTTCCAAATAGGGAAAGGAGTACATCAAGGCCGTATATTGTCACCCTGCTTATTTAACTTATATGCAGAGTACATCATGCAAAATGCTGGGCTGGGTGAGGCACAAGCTGGAATCAAGATTGCTGGGAGAAGTATCAATAACCTCAAATACACAGATGACACCACTCTTATGGCAGAAAGTGAAGAGGAACTAAAAAAGCCTCTTAATGAAAGTTAAACAAGAGAGTGAAAAAGCTGGCTTAAAACTCAACATTAAAAAAACAAAGATTATGGCATCTGGTCCATCACTTCACGTCAAACAGATGGGGAAACAATGGAAACAGTGACAAACTTTATTTTCTTGGGCTCCAAAATCACTGCAGGTTGTTAAAAGATGCTTGCTCCTTGGAAGAAAAGCTATGACCAACCTAGACAGCATATTAAAAAGCAAAGACATTACTTTTCTAACAAAGGTCCATCTAGTCAAAGCTATGGTTTTTCCAATGTCATGTGAGAGTTGGACTATAAAGAAAGCTGAGTGCCAAAGAATTGATGCTTTTGAACTGTGGTGGTGGAGAAGACTCTTGAGAATCCCTTGGACTGCAAGGTGATCAAACCAGTCAGTCCTAAAGAAAATCAGTCCTGAATATTCATTGGAAGGACTGATGCTGAAGCTGAAGCTCTAATCCTTTGGACACCTTATGCAAAGAGCCTACTCACTGGAAAAGACCCTGAGGCAAGAGGAGAAGGGAACAACAGAGGACAAGATGGTTGGATGCCATCACCAACTCGATGGATATTAGTTTGACCAAGCTCCGGGAGTTGGTGATGGACAGGGAAGCCTGGGGTGCTGCAGTCCATGAGGTCGCAGTGACTTGGACACAACTAAGTGACTGAAGAGACTGATAAGAACCATTTCACACCATATAATTGATTTCAGAAATCTAGATGGCTTAAATGTGAAAGGTAAAACTATAAAACAATAGAACAAAGTGGTGGAATTTTTTTTGTGGTCTAAGGATAGAAAAGCATTCATTTCTTAAAATTCCAAAAACATATATCATAAGGAAAAAAAACCTGATAATTTCATTACATAAAAGTTAAGATCTATGTTCAACAGACAAGATATAATCTAGAAAGAGACACTTCCAATATCCATACGTGATAAGGAAATAATAACTGGAATACACAGTGAACTCCTGCAAGTTGGTAACAATCCCTCAGAAGTCAGGACAAATCAGAAAAGCAGGCAAAGAAGGAAACTCACCTCAAGGGAAACCAAAATGGCTAAGGACGTGAGGAGATGCTCACGTTCAAGCTATTCACCTTATTCTGTGTGTGTGCGGCAAAGATCAGAATGCTGAATACTGAAAAGAGCAGTAGGGACTTGGGAGCACAGGTATCCTGCCTCTGGTGATGGAGGACAGACAGGACTGACTACTATGGAGAAACATCTAGCAGCACTTGCTCAAATGAAGTGATTATACCTATGACCCAGCAATCTTGCCCTTAGATAAGCATTCCAGAGACATTCTCACAGTGGTTGATAATAATATGTTAAGTGTAGCTTTCCTGGAGACAGCTGAAACCTGGAGCCAATACAGGAACCCGTGATAAGACAGTACTGCAGATACAAGAAGATGTGAAAGCAGCAGGCACTATGGAACTTTAGTAACAGAAACAAGGAGATAATGAACACACAAAGCATAAAAACTGTACATAAAAAAAGAAACGGATTAAGGCTTACGCTGCTGCTAAGTCTCTTCAGTCGTGACTGACTCTGTGCGACCCCATAGACGGCAGCCCACCTGGCTCCCCCGTCCCTGTAGCAGGACAAAATTTAAAAGGGTCATTTATGTTTTATTTTTCAGGGTCCACGAGCAAGTCCACTCCCATTTCCATAACCAACTTTTAAAACGAGTGAATTTTCTAAGGACTTCAGAAAAAAAGAAAGAATTTTAGGAATTTCCCTGATGGTCCAGTGATTAAAGTTCCATGCTTCCAATGCAGGGGGCACGGCTTCCATCCCTGGTCCGAGAACTAACATCCCACAGGTCATGTAGCATGGTCAATAAAATTCAAATAAACAATTAAAACAAACAAAAAAGAAAGCACTGTAAGCAGATAGGGTAAGAGGTCCCCAGGAAAGAAGAATCAGGCATGGCTTTTGACAAATAGAAGCCATTTTTTTCCTAAGCCATTTTGAGATCTAAGCCTAACCACAATGCTTACCCTTGAATAGATCTCAGTAATAATGCTCTTAAGGAATAACAATAGCAGATTATAAATCAGTATAAAAACTCCAGGTTCTGTTTCCATGGTAAAGATTAGCCTGAAGCACTTTCTTGAGCTGCTCTGCAGAATTTAAACCCTCCTATAGTGCTTAACCACTAGATCAACTATAACTTAAAGGATGATGATATTGACCTTTTCTGACCTTGGTGACTTCAATCAACTAAAGCTTGGATGCTGTCAACCTCTGCCCCAATTCTATCTTGAACTCTCCTCTTCAAGTTCCTTCATGAATATGCATATATCCTTAGCTTAAGACTTTTCCCAATGATGCTGCTTTGGGAAAGATCCCCCGGTGTTCTTCTTGCTCTAAGTAATAAATCTTTTCTTCTCCTGCTCTTTGGCTTGGTTGTCTTTAGTCTCACACACAAAAAGATGAATCCAGTTTTCTGTAACTACCAGAGGCTGAGAAATGGCCCTAAGGGCTTTGATCAACAGGGATACTTGGCACACCTCTTGACAGAAGCACTAAAACAGAGTTGTTAAAAGAAATTTATANGGGGGGGGGGGGGGGGGGGGGGGGGGGGGGGGGGGGGGGGGGGGGGGGGGGGGGGGGGGGCAGCGGCAATGAATCCAATACACCAATACACTTTTGGAAAACACTGTGTTACTTAAGTCTCTGAATTGATCTTTCTCAATTCTCTAAATTTAGCGTAAAGAAGCAATGGAGACATTTGGCAAGCTGTGCAAATCTTTGCTGTCATTGCTTGAGTGGATCTTAGTTCTTCTCCTGGAGCCAACTGCCCAGGATTCTATGTCAATACTTAAGAAAATGGAGAAGACAGTATTACATGGAGACTTTCCACATAGGAAAATGTCCCTTGACACTGGTTTTTCCTTGATTAAATCGAACCTGCATTCAGAACACTTCACAAAACGAATACAAATTTATATTTAACTAAAAATTCCAGGAAAGGCTAGTATTCTTTAAGATACAGTTATATTCACCACTATCTTTAAAAGTCACAGATAAATTTGAGGATTATTTTCTCCATTGGAGCACATTATTAGTTTACAGAGTTTAGGATGATTTTTCATAGTGAAGGACAATAAGTAAATGAAGGATAAATAAATGTAAGTGTAATCTGGGAGTTTTTCTCAAGTTAAAAAATACTGTTAAATATTCTGAGAAAAAAGACATTTTTGTTTTTTAACGATAAAAGTCAATAGCTAAGAAAAAGTAAAACACAGACACCTGTGTGTATACATGTGGAGAGAAAGCAAGTGTGGAGAAAGTGTGGCAAACTTGGCGATTCTGGGGGTGAAGGTGTACCTTGCACAATTTCACTGTAAAATTATTTGAATTTTCCTCTAGGCGAAGTTTTATAAATAAAAGTTGGAGGGAGATTAAAGTCAACAGTTTTAATTGACTGTTCAGCCTCCACATAATCCTCCATTAAACACCCAGCTCATTATTTAGATTCTTATTTTAAGACGATTTACGCCTCATGTCATTGCCCCTGTAGACGCAATCCAGGTAAAGCTGACGTTAAGTTCACCTCGCGTCAGAATTTGTCTGAAAATAAGTAAGGCTGGAAAGCTTGGATCAAATCCTAAAAGAGAGAACTTATTATTCCCTCCCGTTTCGAACTAGTTGACCCAGTTTCTTTTGACATTAAGACAATACAATACCCAAGAACATTATCCCTGCCCAGTTCCTTGCTTAAATGGACCCTTCTAAACCTTTGCTACCTCCACGGCTGAGAACTACAGCGACTATTTCTAAATCACTAATCTCCAGCAGTGCAACATTAGGCGTGGTCCTCCCTGCCGTTAACCTAATCAAACTGGGATTCCTAAATACAAAGACGGTGTTGGCTTATCTTCCAGCCTGCAAAAACAAACTTAAAAAGCTGACAAGCTACACTAACCCATCGTTTTCTCCTTGTCTCACTTCCTCGTTTCTAAAAGAAACCCAAAGGACACCACAAACATTAAACAGATGGCTTTAACGCAACTGTAAGACAATTCTAGAAAGACCACTGGACGCGAAGGGAGAGCGCATCGCTGAGTTGGCAAGAAGATCGATATGGCATCGTCCTGTAAAATCCCAGGGGCGTCGGGATCAGGTCCCGACCGCGGCGGCGGCGACGGCGGCTCGCCCCTCTCCGCGTAGCGTCCCCCGCCCCTCCCCACCCGGCTCCCTCAAGTCTCCACGAACGGAAATGGGAGTCACAGCGCCGGGGACCAGCGGAAACAAAACACAGAGGCGGCCGCGGGGGGGCCGCGGTGGGGGAGAAGGCCCCGGAACGCAGGCTGCCCGCGCGGGCCCGCGCTCGCTTCCTCCCCCGCGGCCGCACTCACCCGCTCCGGATTCGGCCCCGTCGCCCCCGCCCGCGCTCCAGAGCCGGCTGAGAAGCGCAGCGGCGCGGGCTCCACGTGCAGCGTCTCTCCCGGTAAGACCCGCAGCTCCCGCGACTCGAAGTGGGAGGCCCCTGGGCCCTTCCCGCGAAAACGGCGCAGAGAAACTCCAACCCCCCCACTCCCGCCTCCCAGGCACCCCCGGGTCCGGGACTACAACTCCCAGCAGGTTGCGCGAAACGGACGTCTGAGGCAACGGAGGCTCACGAGGCACAAGGGAGCAGCAACGCCCCAGATCGCTTTGTTTTACACTGTCACTCTGCACAATCGTATACCTCAACAACCCCCCAACCCCCAACCAAGGAATAGGACGCTGAATCGGGGCCGGGGGTACTGAACTAGGGGACAGGCCAGTCCAAGGGCGCATGCGTACACCACACGATTTCCGAAAGGGAAAAAGAGAGCGGGTCAAGTTGGGCGAAGGAAAGATGGCGGAGGCGTCACTAGAGGACCCGGAAGCACTTACCCTCCACTTCCTCCTCCTGTTTGGCTTCTGTCTCACCTAGAGCCGTCCGGTCGCAGAGTGTCTCCGAGACGCTTCCTGTCCGGTGAGTGTCCACCGTCTGAAACGGCGGCCCATAATGCATTGCGATGGCGGGTAGGCGGGTGGGGGCGGAGTCAGGGCCGGAAGTAGAACGGGGCGGCGGAGGCGGCGGCGGCTGGCGGCTCGGCCCTGAGTGCAAGGTGACTGGGAGGGTAACTGGACTAACGTGGCCTCTTGGGAGTTGGGTTCTGGGTTTCTTCAGGAGGTCTGGGGTGCCCTTTTCCCTCTAGGACTCTGGAAAAGAGAGCAACCTTATATCCCGGGGCGCCTTCACGGCCTGGCCCGGGCTCATTTTCGACCTCGGCTCTTTCGGCCTTGAAGTTTGCTGTAGGTTCAATAAGTAGCCAGAAAATCCCGCTCTGAGGGCCTAGCTCAGGGTGGTGCGGGCAGCAGGGAGGCCGGCGCTTCGTGGGCTTGCAGCCGGTCTAGGGTAGCCCAAGGTCATGTCCGCGGGGCAGGTCTGCCGCCAGGCCTGCTCTTCCCGGACGCGTGGGAGGTGGTTCTCAACTATTGAAGAATAGAACGTGAGAGAAAAAGACAATTGTCACCTTAAAAGTTGGGACGCCACCTAAAAATGTTGGTAGTGCTGAAACTTGGTTACGCGGCTTTTGTTTTACATCACGGTTTCCTGGAGGAAAGCACTAACCTTGGAATGGCCAGTCATCACTGTAAACGGGAGAGCTCTCGGCACAGGACCTCTCCTTATGCTGTGTTCTTTTCTAGCTGTTGGCTTCCCCAATTCTTTGAGTGTATCTAATGCTTGCTGGCATGCGTGGCCTCGCATAATACTCGAATAGAGGACTTAATCATAGTCGATACTTGATATACCTATTTGTGTAATGAAGTGTATATTTCTTGTTAGATATTCAATCGTTGCGGGGGCGGGGAATGAAACAGAGGAAAAGGAACAAGTTTTGATAGTGAGATTATGTATTCATTTTTTAGATAAGTTGAGTTTGAGAGCAAGATAAGACTTATGAAGGGATGAGTGGTGTTGATGTATGGATTTGGAATTCAGGAAGAAGACCACGCACAATTAGGTGTGATTTAGGAATCATTAATAGGTAGATGATAGAGACAAAAAGTGGAAGTGGATTTTCCCCCATGTTGGAGTAGGAGTAACATGATCCTCTGTGAGATTAAATTAACTGGGTATATGAGTAATTTAATAAACTGTCTTGCGCATTGTCTTACTATCTGTAAAGGAGACGTAGAATACTTGGCTGTTTCTTAACAGGATTTCTCTAAGGAGAAATATGTATGGAAGTACTTAGAATACCTAGGGCTGAACAGATGTTAGGGTGACCCTATAGTGGAGTGTTGTTTGTGTTTATGTTGCCAAAAGGGAAAGTATACACTGAGTTGCACAATTTTAAAAATGTATTTGTGTCCTGTCAGATTCTGTTGTGTAACCTGGGATTGGGTACTTAACCTCTAAGCCCCAGTTTCTGTATGTGTAAAGTAAGACTAAGTAGCACCTTGGGTGTTAGTCGCTCAGTCGTGTCCCCAACTCTTTGTGACTCCATAGACTGTAGCCCACAGGCTCCTCTCTCCGTGGGATTTTCCAGGCAAGAATACTGGAGTGGGTTGCCATTCCCTTCCCCAGGGGGTCTTCCCCCACCCAGGGATCAAACCCGGATCTCCTGCACTGCAGGCAGATTCTTTACATCTGAGCCGCCAGGGAAGCAGCACCTTAAGGTCATTCACATAGTTTTCTTTCATCCTGCAGGTGAGGGATGTTTGGTAGACTGTAGGATTTACTTTGATAGTCTTTATGTGCTACTTCATGGGCTTCCCTGGTGGCTCAGTTGGTAAAGAAACTGCAAGGCTGGAGACCTGGGTTCGATCTCTGGGTGGGGAAGATCCCCTGGAGATGGGAACGGCAACTCATTCCAGTAGTCTTTCCTGGAGAATTCCATGGACAGGGGAGTCTGGCAGCTATAGTCCTTGGGGTGGCAAAGAGTTGGTTACAACTGAGTGACTTAACACATACATGTGCTATTTCAGGTCTTCTCAACCTTAGCACTATTGACGTTTTGAACCAAATGTTTCTTTGTTGTGGGGAGGCTATAGTTGTTGTTATATGATTTTGGCAGCATTCTGGTTTTTAACCACTAGAGGCTAGTAACACCCTGTCAGGACAGCCAAAATGTCTTCAAATATTGCCAAGTATTTCCTGTGGGACATCCCCACTGCGATTAGATAACTGCAGTGCTGCTCTTCATCTTCTAGCTTAATGCTTTCCAACTCTCACTAGTAAAGGGCCACTTTCCCTCCAGCCCTTGTGGGTATCTTTGAAGAATCCAGTAAAAATGAATTACTGGAAAATTTAGTAGATGAAAGACAAAACAATGGAGACACAAAATACAAACTTTTAATTGCTTCCCTTGTGGCTCAGCTGGTAAAGAGTCCGCCTGCAGTGCGGGAGACCTGGGTTTGATCCGTGGGTTGGGAAGATTCCCTGAAGAAGGGAAAGGCTGCCCACTCCAGTATTCTCGCCTGGAGAATTCCATAGACTGTGTGGTCCACGGGTCGCAGAGTCGGACACGACTGAGTGACTTTCATTTTCACTGTTGAATTCAGCAGGTACGAGTTAAACTCTGTCAGATTGCTGTAAAAGTTTCTAAATGCTTACTGCCGAAGGTCCTCAGACCGCACTTTGAGCAGTAGTATTATAATTTAATAGTTAGGTGTGACTGCTTATTTGACTCATTCGGGGAGCCTGGAGAATCATGTTAGCATGTTGCTGCTGCTACTAAGTCGCTTCAGTTGTATCTGACTCTGTGCGACCCGATAGACTGCAGCCCACCAGGCTCCTCTGTCCCTGGGATTCTTCAGGCAAGAACACTGGAGTGGGTTATCGTTGCCTTCTCCAATGCATGCTAAGTCACTTCAGTCCTGTCCAACTCTGTGCGACCCTATGGACAGCAGCCCACCAGGCTCCTTTGTCCACAAGATTCTCTAGGCAAGAATGCTGGAGTGGGTTGCCATTTCCTTCTCCAGTTAGCATGTTGGGGTTTCACTTTAAGATTCAGAAGTTTTATCCAGCTATATCAAAGTGTGACTCTATCCGTCCAGCATGGCTTGGTCAGCTCTTTCTGTTTAATCAGTCTTTATTAATCTGGGGCACTTTCTTCTAATTTTTCTATGATTTCCTTATTCTTTTTCTTTTGGAATTCCTGTTTGCATATAATTGATACTTTTACATTTGATCTTTTCAAGACACTAAATGAATTCTCAATTGAAATCATCCTGTGATTTATACCGTATAATTTTTTAGTTAGAAAATCATGTATTTTAGTTTCAGGAAGTCTTAGGACTTTGGGGTTTTTTAGTTCTTTAAATTTCGGGTTTTTTCCCAATTTTTTTTTCCTTGTTGGGTTTTTCCCCTTTGTTTTTCCTTTTTTTTTTGTTGGGTTCCTTTTTTTTTTTTTGTTTTTTTTTTTTTTTTTTTTTTGCCTTGCTTTTTTTTTTTTCTTGTTGTTTTTTTTTTAGTTCTGTTTTTTTTTTCTTTGTTCGTGCCTGGCTTGCTTCCTGTGTCTGTGGTGGGTGGGTTTGTTTCCCTGTGGGCCTGTGAAATGCAACTGAGGCTGAGGCAGCTGTCTGCAGGCTCCCTGCTCATAGCCCTTTTTGCCTTTTGAGGGGGGTTAGGGAAACCTGGTAGGCTAATTTGGGAGCCAGTATTACTCTCTCTCTGCTGAGGGTGGGTGGTCAAGACTAAAAAGTTCATGAAGAAACACCCCATCCCAGATTTTGTGTTTTCTTTCTGCATCTGACCTAGTGGAGGCATGAGGCCTGAGTGATTCTGAACTGCTGCTAGGTCCCAGGGCCTTTTGCTTGTGAAGTGAAACGCCTGCAGTGAGGGGTAGAGAGGAAAAGGGATCTTTGGTCAGGTGACTGTTCTTAGTATTCACTGAGTTCTGGTATGATTGAAGTTCTGTAGCATTAACTGGGTAGCGTGGCTGAGTGGTCTAAGGTGCTGGGTTAAGTTCTGTAGCACTTGGTAGAATTAGATACCCACTATAACACATGTACAGGGGTTTTACAATTATGTCTATTTTAAAGTATCTTCACATGCTGGCTCTTGTTTCCAGTAACAGGATCACCATGATTCTTCAGAGACTCTTCAGGTTGTCCTCTCTTGTTCAGTCTGCAATCTCAGTCTCTCTGAGGAGGAACATTGGTGTCACAGCAGTGGCGTTTAATAAGGAGCTTGATCCTGTGCAGAAACTCTTCGTGGACAAGATTAGAGAATATAGAACTAAGCGCCAGTAAGTGGGTAGGGGTAGTGGTGTTCATGTGCATATTCAAAGTATGTAAGTTTTGACATGGTAAAAAATTACTTGGCGTTTGAAAGTGTCTTAAGACCTTTTACTGAGCTGATCCCTATGGTACAGGTTCATTAGCTGCTCCAAAAGAAAAAGATGAGGACCTTGATATTTAAGTCCCAAATTTTATCTTATGAATTCCCAGGGAGAATTGTATTAAATCTAATGGGATTTTAGATATATCCCCACTGTAATGTTATTTATTATAAACTGGAGTCAATTCATACAAGTACATAGGATCTTGGAAATCGTTTAGGAACCATATTTGAGAAAATTAAACCCCTTAGACAGTGATTATCCTAAGGTCATAAACCTAGTTATGGGGAAAATATACTCAGAATATTCTAACTCTCAATTTAGTGATCTCTCTGTGACATCATGATTTGGGGAGAAATGTATAAGCACAGCATTTTTTAACGTTACTTCCACAGTTAATATATTTCTGGGACTGTCAAAAGAGAGCAGACTCTGAAATGGCATAGAGCAAGTCCAGGGAAAACCTCATTACAGAACCACACAGTTTTGAAGGTGATTGATGACCTCGGCCATCATCAAATTTCACCCCCAGATCTTTGGCAAAGTGATACAGATCAGTTCAGAATTTTGTTTTCTTTTGTTTAGTTGTCTACCATATGCAGAGCACTGGACTATTGAGAGTGGTGGGCTACAAAGAAAGAAGCCACTTGGCATTTCCATAATATTCTTCAAGTCTAAGAGGGTAGAAAGTTTGTAAGCAAGTAAATATAATAGAAGGTAAAACAGGTTAAGTGATAAGGTAGTGACACAGTCAGTGTTTGGGGAGCTTCTTGGAAGGAATCCTCCTTTCTAGCTGGTACATTTTGAAAGGTGGCATGGAAGAGTGATGTTTCCAAAAGCTTGTGAATCCCAGAACTGGACAGTGATCATCAGTCATCAAAGTATTTGGTTGAAGGCTCTATCTAGAACTGTGCTGTTTATTTCTGTGTCTGTTATCCACATGTGACTATTCAAATTCTGAGTATAAATAAAAATTCAGTTCCTCATTTGCCTTTTAGGCACATTTCTGGTGCTCAATACCAGATATGGCTAGTGGTTACCATGTTAGTCTTTCCCACCTTCTCATCCTTCCTTTTGAGTCTTAGAATGTCTCAAAGTACAATCTGACCCAAATGCATGGTTTGTCACAAATGTCACCTTTTTAAAATGAAATCTCCCTGTTTAGCTTAGCAAAAGTGACCTCTCACCTTCAGTAGCTTTTTGTTAAACTGTGTCTTTGAAGGTTATCCCCTGACTGCCTCACAGCATAAATGTTATTTTTTTTCCTTCTAAATGGTAAAACCTCTGAGGTTAGGAAGTAATTTGCTTCTTTGATAGGCCGCTGTTAGAGACTTAAACCCTTCAGTGGTGGTTGATTTAAAAGCACAGTGAAAGTAGATAAGTGCGGGTTCACGGTGTGCCAGGCACTGGTCCGTGAGTGGTACATGTGCACAATCTCTTAATTCTCTCAGCACCATCAGGTAAGACTTCTGAGTTGTCAATGTAGAAACTAGAGTTTGGAGTGCTTCATGCCTTGCTCTAGTTCACACAGTAACTAGGTTGTAGAACTGACAATGAAATGGAAGCGGTCCTTCACCCCAGAGCCCGTAGACTTAGCCATTACACCTTATTGCTGCTCAGACGCTGAGAGATTCTGACATTTAATAATACTGATACTGACAGACCTTGAATGTTTTGTTTGAAGTTGCCTCATTTGTGTGAACCCTCATCATATTTAAAATTGTTTGAGGTTACATTCAAATTGAAATACTTGTTACCTTTCAGAAAAGTCTGCTCTTCCCTATGCTCGGAAGATCTGTGAAACTTAATTTTGTTTCTGTAAACTAATGTTTAAAATACATTTTTACTTGGTCGTGTACACTATAGGACATCTGGAGGACCTGTTGATGCTGGCCCAGAGTATCAGCAAGACCTTGACCGGGAGCTTTTTAAGCTTAAACAAATGTATGGTAAAGCAGACATGAATACATTCCCTAACTTCACGTTTGAAGGTAAGTCTTTGTAATCACAGATTCATTGTTGTGGGAGATCATTTTAAGTGGAGAATATTTACATGGGTTGTTTGGGGGATTAAATGACAATTACACGTGAGTGTAATTTGAGCAAGCTCTGGGAGTTGGTGATGAACAGGGAAGCATGGCATGTTGCGGTCCATGGGGTCGCAAAGAGCTGGATACGACTGAGCAACTGAACTGAACGCGTGAATGCATTAGGACAGTGGCATGTGTGGCAAGCTCCGGGGTAAATGCCACTGGAGGAGATCGCATAGCGTAGAGGTTAAATGGTGGGGACCTAAACCAAATGTCTGAAAGTATCTTTATGGGCTGTGTGATTTGGGATAGCTGACTGGTCCCTGTTTCTCATCTGACATTTGGGTAAGATTATACTGTCTTCTTAGTTGTAGTTAAATGACGTAATATATGTAAATTCATAGAGCCTAGTTCATTGTAAGTCCTAAATAAATCTTAACAGTTATATTTTCATCTAGATGTTTCTTTAAAAAATCAGAAGATGGATGAGATAAATATTAAAGTTTTTTAGAAAATATACTTTATTGCAATATGGCTAAGTTTGAACCTTTCTTTCCTCTTTTTAGATCCCAAGTTCGAAGTTGTTGAGAAACCCCAGTCTTGAAGAAGTAATGTAAAATTGATCTGGTAATTTGTCCTAGTTGAGTTGTACAGCTACCCAGAAGTAACAGAATAAACACACATTTCACAGCTGTCAAATGTTCTTTTAATTCTGATTTCAAATAAATTATTTGGTGATGTTAGGTATACAGTTGAGTGTGTTGAATTTTTTTTTTTTTAATAAATTTTACTTTATTTGCTGTGCCGGATCTTAATTGCAGCACACAGGATCTTTAGTTGTGCATGAGAACTCTTCGTTGCAGCATGTGGGATCTAGTTCCCTGCCAGGGACTGTACCCAGGTACCCTGCATTGGGAGCTTGGAGTCTTAGCCACTGGACCACCAGGGAAGTCCCCAAATTCTTTGTTTTTATATCCTCCTGTTTGATTGTATGAAAGCAGATGGAGACCTTGCATTAACTGAGTACCACTTGCCCCAAACTCGCCAGATTCTCCTCAGCGTTGAGGTGTCCTGTTTATCTTGGAGACTTACTGCCTGCCGGAGGGGAGCCATCCTGACTGAAGAAAGGAGTGTTCGCAGTGGAGGACGTCACACCTGCTCCCAGAATATGAAGAAACGGTTCCAAAATCATTGGTCATAGCTTTTTCAGGGAACTTGGGTGTGACTGTGAATACATCCAGGGACTTCCTTTGTGTTTTTACTTCCATCTCCTCATGTGTTAAATGCTTTTATTATCCCAGTAACACCTCCCTCCTCTCCCCTTGGAGTGTAATGGTCACCGTGTCTATTACAAGGCTATGCGGATAGATCAGGGAAAGCTGGGGGCGGGGGAGAGGAGGGTTCTACAAAGCAATTTACTTGAAAATAGATTAAGCTGTATGGTGGTGTTTGCCCAGTGGATGGAATACTGAGCAGATGTGCCAGATAAGTGGCAGAGCAGGTGCGTCAAAATTTCAGTAAGTAGACGGTTCTGTTTTTAATTTTTTTTTTCTAAAAGAGGCAGCTGTGCCTTTTTAAGTCTGACACTCTCGTGTCAAGAAATATGTGTCTTTAGTAAAACTTTGGAGATTCTTTTTAAAAAGTGAAGTTGAGAAAAAGTCTTACTAGGTTATCTCACTTCAAAAGAAATCGATTTTTACTATGGCGTACTGTACTAGCTGAAATCTAAACCTGGTGAAAGGGTAAAAGTGTTGGTTGCACAGTTGTGTCCGATTCTGTGACCCCATGGACTATAGCCAGCCAAGCTCCTCTGTCCATGGGATTCTCCAGGTAAGAATACTGGAGTGAATAGCCATTCTCTTCTCCAGAGGGTCTTCCTGACCCAGAGATCGAACGCGGGTCCTCCTGCACTGCAGGCGGATTTTTCACCGTCAGCCACCAGGGAAGCCCCGGTGTTCTTACAAGAAGGGCAAATTTGAGTTGAAAGGTTTGGGAACCAGAAATGGACTTGGGCCTGCCTGTTTCGTGTCTGTCTAGTGCTACTGTTAACAACCAGAGGGCTTCTGTTCTGGGCAGTTTTTACTCAACTCCATTTAGTGTAGGATTTTCTGTTTCTCTGACTGTTGCTACCCTTGGTGTGGCAGCACAGTGCTGACTGGTGAGGTATGAGTTCTTGGAGCGCTCTGTGGGCTAGCAGCTTTCCTCATGCAGGTTACCTTAAATGGGAGGTCCATTCCAACCTGTCTCTTCCAAACCCCCTTCCACTCCCACTTCAGCCACACAGTCCACAGCCTCTTATTTCACATGTTTGCTTTCAGTGTGTTTGACAGGAAGGCTCAAGACCAACTATGTACTTTCCAAGCTGCCTACTTGAGCACCAAAAACAGATCCTTACTTTGAGACACAGTGGGAAGATAGGTGCCTCACCATTTCCTCTTCTCTGTTCCTTGATATTTTTGCCTTTTGCTCAAATAGCTATTTGGCAGGTGCCTTCAGTTGTTGCTGGTGGTTCGCCTTGAAAAATTCCCTTTACTTGCCTTGGGGTGAGTTAGGGAATAGAACTCACAGCTTTGACAAAGACAACACAATTTGGACAATTCATTCTCTGTCTCAGGCTTCCCTTGTGGCTCAGCTGATAAAGAATCCATCTGCAATGTGGGAGACCTGGGTTGGGAAAATCCCCTGGAGAAGGGAAAGGCTACCCACACTAGTGTTCTGGCCTGGAGAATTCCATGGACTGTATAGTCCATGGGGTCACAAAGAGTTGGAGATGACTGAGCAACTTTCATATTCGGTCTCTCTCCATCCCTACACAGTTCAGTTTGTGGATTTTGTGTGCTGAGGTAAAGGAGAACCATGGTAATTTCAGGGTAGCACAACTCTCTCTTTATGAACATCGAAGCAGGTGTTTATACCTAAATTAGTTATGAGTTTCTTTGGAAAATGTACTTGTCAGCCTTCAGATAACAGAAAAAGTCCCAGTCAACATTCTGTTACATGGATATAAAATTTTTTCTTATTCTCTTTGCTGTATGGTATCCTAAAATTTAGAAAAATAAGTTTCTTGACCTATAGCAACTTCAGTATAATTGATGGTAGTTAAATGTTTGGAATAAAAGGAAGGTTGAGAATGAAAAGTTAAATGGCAACTAACTTGAGGGATCTAACAACTGGTTGTAAAAATTCTCAATTTTTATACCATCTTTAAGAAGACCATCTTTAAGAAGCACTTTGTCTCACATTCAGTGTTGAAAACATCATAAAATGGAGCATCTGCCCTCAACCTTAAAGAAAAACAAGTCCTTTGTTGACACACCTGTTCATGTTTTGAGAACATTTTCTTAGTCAAAAGTATAAAGACCTATTATACTCTAGTATGGGTTAATTAGCACTTAAAAAAAAACCTTGGTCACATAGAAATATGGCATATACTAATTCTGTGTCCCCTGTTTCTTGTTTGTAGGGAAAAAAAACTTTATAAAAGTCTCCTATGCTGTCCCTACGCTGAATTCCAATGAGTAGGCTCAAGCAGTTAGTGGACAGGAGTCACTGGCCTTCTCATCCCACCCCAACCCCCACAAAGAGCTATAGAGAACAATCTGATGCATATCTTTTGAGTTCTGCAGAATTGTCACAGGACTGTTACTACATGCTGACCACAAGCTTGCAGATCCAGAAGGTTGAGATTGAGACATCACCTTGTTACTTCACCACATTTTGCTTTAAAACTCTTCCCTTAAAATCCTAAAAACCATCAGGGAGTTCAGGCATTTTGAGCAGATCCTTGCTTAGCTCACACAGCAGACCTTTCTCTGCTCCAGACAATGTCCCACTGTGGCCCCTGCATGGGGCACATCAACTATGGTTCGACCACTGAAGTATCAGTATGTAAAAGCTGACAGTTAATCTTGAATTTCCTGGCCAGTTTTTACTACTAAAATTTCCCCAAGCCCATATATAACAAAAAATAAAGGATGGAAAGTTAAACTTTAAAACTTGAAAGAGGAAAAAACATTTTAAGATCTTTTTAAGAACTATGTGCAAGTGGATACCTAATAACTAAAAGGAGTAGAATAATAGAAAAGTAATTTTTGTCCAGCCTTAGTTCATGGAGCATTAATTTGTGTGATTCCATAATAAATGAATTGGATTATAATGACATTGCAGAATACAATTATTAATATTCTAAGTATAGATAAATTTTATCAATAAATACTCTGAATTGCCATTTCCAAATGCTCTTTTGATCTTTAAAAATTCATTCAGTACTCGAAAGTGAAAGTCACTCAGTCATGTCTGACTCTTTGTGACTGCATGGACCTGAGCCCATCAGGCTCCTCAGTCCATGGAATTTTCTTCACTCATTTCTTCCCATTTACTAATTCGTATTCACTGACCAACTACTGTGAATCAGCCCTTGTGCTGGATGCTAGTGGTTCCAGCTCACAAGCAATTAACTACCACATGTGAAGNGAAACTGGTGAGCTATAAGTCAATGGGGTCAAAAAGAGTGGGACATAACTGAGTGACTTAACACTTGGAATTTCAGGCTCAGATGATTAGACCCCAGTCAGACTAAGTAAAGGGAAAGAGTGAAAGCTTTTAGTAATGGGATGGGACAAAAGGCAGAAGGGAGTTGACAGTGTTCAAGAGAGTAATCTGGCAGTAACTGATGGTGTGGGAGAGTGGGAGACTAGGGAACAAAGGAACCTTCAGAACAGTGAGACTGAAATTGCTACTAGGAGAGGGGGCGATCGAGGGGGTAAGATACCAGAAGATAAAAGGCATGAGATAGTAGCAGGAGATAAAAGTAGTTAAAAGTGTGCCAATGAATGATGGAGTCTGTGAATAAACAGATTAAAAATGATGATTAAAGATAGGGTGGTAGTGATACAATTTAAATGTATTTATCATGGTCAGCTTCAATCTTAAAAAAAAGATTAAAATTTGAGTATCTTTGGTGAGGGGATAAAATGATTCACCATAACTTTTTTTTTTTAATGGATTTGTAGCTTTTTAAAAAAACTTTTTGGCTATACCATGTGGCTTGTAGGATCTTAGTTCCCTGACCAGGGGTTGAACCCAGGGCCCTTGGCTGTGAAAGCTCCAACCAAGTCTTAACCACTGGACCACCAGGGAATTCCCCATCATGACTAACCTGGGTAGAAGGACAAAGTGTCACAGGCTGTGAGACTAGACAGGAGTGGATGGGCCAGAGATTACTGAGGATGAAAGGAAGGTGTCCTTGGAGAGAAGAATGTAAGAATGTAAAAGGAAGGAATGCTGGGGCAGAGAAAAGACATCTTGTGCAGAACATTCTGGATCAGATGGACCTGGGTCACACTGACCCTGCCTCTTCAGTTGGTTTTGTAAACTTGGCAGTCATTGACTTAGGTCATGTCGGTCTCCTCATCTGTAAAATGAGGACATTGTCCTCTTTTTTTATACAATCATTGAGGTGAATGACATTTTATGTACCCTCATCTCTATCCACCCCAGCCTCCACGACATATATAAAGTGTTCAATAAATAGTTTCGGCATTTTATTTTCAGAGCATTTTTTTTAGCACTGGAGAAGTTGGCAGGTACCCAGACTGAGACACAAGATTCTCATCTTGAGCAGCTAAAGCTTTAGCCTTGTAGCTACAGACAGTAAAAGGGAGTAGTTTCCTGGGTTTCACTGAACAATAGGTGGATGACTCTTACCCTGCACCATTAAATGGGCTAAAAAATTGAACACATTCTATTT